ACTTATTTTTTTTTGTTTGTTGTTGTATTTGTTGTTTTGTCATTTGTTTACAACACACACTCTATCAACTTCACGTCACAGTTCGTGGACAATACGGGAGCAACTGTGTGGCGCCTTAAAGAAATTTTACCCGACCCAATCTCCAATTGAGCTAGGCGAGGACCCGTGTTGTGTTTGGTGTTGTAAATGTGTTGGTTATTATATGTATTTTTTGTTGTTGTAATTAAGGTGTCACAACTCAACTATGAGGACAATCTCAGGATGTCTTAAATACAACCTTCCACTACGCTAAGCAATATCCTCTCCCTATACCTGCTAAAAAAGAATGCTTTCCTAAAAGAGTTCAAAAAAATAACTTACAACCTACTGCTACAGATNGTTCGAAAACATATCTGCGAAAATCCCAACTCGCCATAACATCTACATGGCAACCATCGCAGCAACCACACTGCGATATCACTGGTTTATTCTGTTGCAGAATACTCCATATACTCAGATAATTATCTGAGTATTATCGTCGATTATAATCGACACACAACTGAACTCAACTATGAGGACAATCTCAGGATGTCTTAAATACAACCTTCCACTACGCTAAGCAATATCCTCCCTATACCTGCTAAAAAAGAATGCTTTCCTAAAAGAGTTCAAAAAAATAACTTACAACCTACTGCTACAGATTCGTGAGGACCTACTTTAACTTGAATAGCTTCAGATCCCGACACACTCTATTAAATCTTGCTTAGGAACTGGTTAGAAATAACTACAACATCTAGCTTGAGTGAGAAAAAGACTGGAACGTCAAAGCAGCACTAGGAATAAACCAATAGATCCTCCCTAACTAAGAACATAGAGGATTTGGACCCAACCCAACCCAACCTTACCGAACCCAACCCAACCCAACCTTATCCAACTCAACCCAACCCACCCACGAATGAAAGTCCAAAAACATTTAGACTTCTCCGCCACCCATGGAAGCCTCAATAGAGTACGGGATATGGAATCTGTGGTGGCTGCGTAGCTCTAAAAGAATCTGTCCAGCACATTGTGGGGGACTGCCCTATTAGGTCTTATCTTAACGCTGTAGAATACAACGATAACTTTCTGATTTTCTTGTATATTTTAGCAAAATAACAAGCATTGGCTTAAACACAGCTTAAAAGTCTTACATTTTACTGTTTACTGAAAAAAAGATTATCTAAGAAACCATCATAGCTGTAGATGAGATTGACTACAAAACTATCAAAATTTGATGTTTTTAATCTCATCAATATAACTTCTAAGCCAAAGTCGCTAAAATCATTAAAATTTTTATAATTTCTTTTACTTAGTTATCTTTATCGAATGTATACATATGGTGTCTGGAGGATACAAAACCTTTAAAACCGATCAACAACATGGATAATAACGCACCGTTAATTAAAACCATACGTTTCCTCCAATTAATTCGGCCGTCAGGACATGTCTCTCTCGCATACAATTACCGTCCCCATTGTTTTCTCCTCCTGCCGCCGGTCGTCCTGCGGCGTGGGTACGCAACGCGACCTGCTGTACAGACAGTGATCATAACTTACCGAGAAATACTAATAAACCTCCCGATAATTGCACGTTTCATTCCGATGCTGCCGAGATCGTATCGCTTAATTACAACGTGCTGGCGGTTCGCAGAAAGAATCCTGCGAAAGGAAAAACTCGTCGATAGGCCGCGCCGCGGACAGGATAAATGAATACGCGAGACTCCTATCGTCGACCAGCATCAATTACACAGAGTCAGGAAGTCAACTTGAATTTCTTTTTTTTTTGTAGACCACTTCGTATGATCAAAAAGTTTCATGTTTTGAATAGAGGTTCAAGAGATTTTTTTGCTGAAATTTTAGAGATCAATATTAAAGTCGTCTAAAACAAACTAGAATCCATTAGGAACGTGTAGGAAGCGCGTGTTGAGAAGCATGAAAAGGAAGAAAAAAATATATAGAAGCTGGCCGCTAATAGAAGACGCACTGATCAAAGGTGCGGCTCTCAACGTCGTGGCAACATCTGGATCTAAATGTGTACCGTGTTAGTTATTGCTCGGACACGTTTAGCTAATTTCTCAGTAGACGTCTTCGTTTAATTTATTTAACGCGATCGGAGAAGACGACTCTCGTTCCCCGTCGAGTAGATAAGACGCGAATCTTGTTTAATTATATGGGAACTGGGAAACCTGGAATGGAAAATACTCGGGATTCGCCCAGAGAAGAAACAAAGGTGCAATTTAACATTTTAACTCTTCTCGTAGAGCGTCTTTTTGTTTCATTTTTAAACGAGGCAGGAAATAAAGTTCCAGGAGCTGTTCATTATGCCCTGGTGTTACTACGGTTTGATGTAAATTGAAGTTGAATTGTTTCGGAAACGAAGCTTTTAATTTGAAATACTTTCAACCATCAATAAAAAACCTTCTCAAAAAGTTTTTTTATACAAACATTTGTTTTTGTTCATCATGAGTAAAGTCGTTAATTACTTATTTTTTAGGTTTTCCCTTCGTCTTAAGGAAGGTGGCGTTGTCCCCCTCCCAAGAGACATTTCGTGGCAAGAAGAGAGTCGTTTGCCAAAATAACGGACCCGAACCGTCTGTCGCAGAAGATCATCTCCGGAGGAAACGGGAGAAGAAACATAAACACGGTCATTAATTAGGGCGTTATTGTTTCGGATATTGCGAGAGGAGGGAAATTTTCGGTTCTTTGTTTTTCAGGTCTGGAGGGAAAATTGCGCGCAAAAGTGGCTGGTTTCCTTACAACCTTGGGTTTTACGATTCTCCAATTTAAATTTTTTTACTACAGAAGCAATAAAAATCGTTTTTCCAGCAATATTTAGCATCGTAAACCAAATTGAGGTTAAATACATTAATTACAGTGAGTTTGAACATTTTTCCAATTTCACGGGACGAACTTTTAACAGTTATTTGTTGAGGGCCCTATTAACTACTTGCGTTAAGAAAGTTTTAATTGACGTGGACCACCAAACTGTAACGGAATTGATTTTTCCTTTTTCTTTAAGCACTTTAGAGGTAACTTACTTTTCCAACTTAACAACCAGTGTATGGAGAATGAATTTGAGTGTAGTATATTTAACTTTAACCACGTGAAGACTGGGATTAAAAGCTTATTAATAATCCAAATTGGCTGCCTCCAAGAGTGACTAACGTTGCTTAATACGGAGACGTATTTTATTACCCAGAGATTTATCACATCCGGTTCCAAATACTTGGGCACATGATGCCGAGGCTATAAATTTCCTTTCCAAATAGTAACAGCCGGAATTACGTCTGATGCCGTAGTTAACAGCGCGGTTAGTTTTGTTATCATTACATATGGCACACAATTAATATTGTAATAAGAAGCTGCTATAAAGATGTTTCAGTTACAGCAATTACTTAAGGTGATTCTTTTAATATAAATGATTAACTCTAAGTGTACAACATAAAAAGTAGTTAAATTAATTAAGAGTATGCGCATTAAATTCGTTCTCATAAATTAGGCGTGTAAAAAATGAGGACTTTGAATAAAAAGGAGGGGTCTATATGGTAATAAACAAGTTTAATAATAATCCTGCTGCTGCTGCAGTCAAGTGAAGGTTCATTTAATATTCATTTAAGAGTACTTCATTTGGAAAACCTCTATGAACCGCTTGGTTAACTTATCAATTAATCCTCAATCAATAATCCTTTGCTACTATGGAGAGATGTTATACAAGCAATATATATGTTCGTAAATAATTGCTTCGAAGAGCTATGTTTGATAAATTTCGTGTCTTCTCTTTTAAGAACTCCACAGATGATTGATCTAGAAACAAAAAGTACAAAAATTTTAACTGAACAGAAAGATTCACCACATACAATATCTGGTTATCTTTGTAAACATAATCGAGGACGACCTCCCTGAAATAGCTCCTACAATGGATAATCTGAAATTGATCAAGGATTAGAGTGAATTCAGCTAAAATAACAGATGTTATAGTCCGGAGTTGAAGGATGATTACATATTTTATTTCTGATAATCAGTAGCGTAAATTTTATTGATGTTTGCGCACGTAAAAACTAAAAATCCATCAAAATTTTTCACTGTACATAACGAACAAATAAAAGTAATGGTTGAAAGATGTCGAAAATGAAATCTCAAATTTGTTTGAGATATGCATAAAACATCTTCTCATAAAACGTCTGCCAGGTTATAACAGAAGCATTACAGGCAGAGTGTAGACTCTCCAAAAGAGAAACATAACTAGACTGTAGAGTCTGTTAAAGAGAAGCAGTGGTAGAAGAACAGAGGAAGAGGACAGATTTTGTATGCAGCCAATAGAGATTATAACATAATGAAGCCTATTTAGAAATGTAGAACGCAACAATAAGTTTTGGAAAAATTGATAATTGTAGATGGCAAAAAATAAAGTTTGGAAATAATCAGACGGATATAATACTTCCATTATATCTACCACAATTCTCTCTTTCCGGAAAAGGAGCGGATTCTCTTTTTCCAGAAACGGATTCTTCTGCTTTCTGAAAAAAAGAAAATAAGACGGGTGCCAGGGCACGAAAGAATGAACGATACCACACAAAATCCAGACAATTTCTGTAAACTTCCGTAAACTTCTGTAAAAATCTGCAGTGAAGGGATCCTGAATATTTCATTGTTACCTCCTCAAATAGATACGATTAAATATTTTACCTATATATTTTACTCTTTTAATGATGAGTTTTTATGATCGAGTACACTCTTAAAAATTTGATTTCTTCTCGATTTATTGATGGATTTCGTGAAGTCGATAAAACTATTTATATGAGTTTTCGTTTCTTTACTATTAAGGCTTGTCGGTAGCTTTATTATTCTCCTACGTAATAGACATAAAAAAATATTTGTTTATTCGAATATCTATTTATTAGTTATTAAATGTTTTTTTTATAAAATAAATTTTTTAATATTTCACAATTAAAATCATTTAGAATTATACGGAGCTAATGTTTGTCAGTTTTTACGATTATTTCATCACCGAGACAACACAAATATTCCTGCTATTGTTAATATTATATTAACTTTTTGTCTGTGTATACTTTTTTTGTGATAAACTTTATGACTTAGTGATTTGCAGAAAATTATTTCAACATTTAACGGTGCATTACGTTTTATTCATTAGTTATATTAACAGAGAAAAGAACGGGATTGTTCACAATCACAAAAAATGGTTTCTTTAAATATATTTAAGCATGCAAGTACTGCATTAGCTAAAAATAAAGATTTTAAACAAATTTTAATTGTATTCGGAGGTAAGTTTGATAAATTTATACATTTATTCGAATTTTTAATTTAAAAATAATTAATAAAATAATTTTTTTTAGTATCTCTTTGTGGTTTAAATATGGGTTTATCAATAGCATGGACGTCACCAGCAATTCCAAAACTTCTTCAGCCGGAATATGGTATTACAATAGATGAAGCGTCTTATTTAGCAGTAATAGATCCTCTTGCAATGATGATTGGAAGTCCAATTTTTGCAAAACTCGCTGATCTAATCGGAAGAAAACGCACAATGTATTTCATTCCACTTTTATTCTTAATCAGTTGGTTAACACCAGCTTTAACCAAAAACATCTACATCTTATATATTTCGCGAGTGTTTGTAGGATTTGAGTATGCTGCTGTTTTTTCTACTTTACCTTCGTATGTTGGAGAAGTGACAACACCAAAAATAAGAAGTAAATATGGAAATTTGTTGGTGACGTTGATGTTTATCGGTCAATTTTTACCAAATTTTGTTGGATATTTCTGTGATATACCAACAATGGCATACGTTTTATTAGAGGTGCCAATAATTACGTTTATTATTATTTATTTTATTCCGGAATCACCGTATTTTTACATTATGAAGAATGATATGGATAACGCTAGGAAATCTTTGGAAATACTTAGAAGTACGAAAAATGTCGATGGTGAACTCAATGCTATTACAGCAGCCGTTCAAAGACAAATGGTTGAACCAGGAGGGTTCAAAGATTTATTTTTAGTTCGATCAAATAGACGAGCTTTGATGATATGTAATTTAACTAGGATGGTTCAACAATTATGTGGGATAAACGCTTTCATAGTTTTTGCTCAATATATTTTTATCGAAGCAGGAACCGGATTTCCTAGTGCATATGGAGCTATGATTTTTACGGGAATGTTAACTGTATCTAACATTTTTTCTAACGTGATTAATGATAAATATGGAAAGCGCCTCGCTATGGTGTTTTCTTGTACAGGAATATTTTTTGCTTTACTTGGAGAAACAATTTTCTTCGTCCTTAAACAATACACTACAATAGATACAACTCCAGCTAATTGGTTTCCAGTTTTTGGGTTAGCCATTTATGTATTTTGTTTTTGTTTGGGACAATCAAACGTGCCAACATTAATTTTAGGGGAATTGTTTTCGTCAAATATTAAACCACACGGTATTATGGTGATGAATGTTATTTTCGCTATGTATATGGCTGGGATGAACAAATTATTTCAAGTTTTAATGTCTCATTTTGGACTTAGCGTTCCATTTGCGTTTTGTACAATTTGTGCTTTTACGGGAATATTTCTTTGTTATTATTTTATACCAGAAACTAAAGGAAAAACTTTGGAAGAAATACAAATGTTGTTAAAAAAATAATACATTTTTTCAATCAATTTCTTTTCTTTTCTTTCAAATTTATCCCTTCTTGCAACAATAAGTTGTAATAAAACTATTCGACGTCACAATAGACATCACTTACTGTCAATCTACACGAGGGCAAGACAACTACTAGAAAGAGCCCTTTGCATTTCCTTTTAGCGAAATTATTAACGGTTCCTTAACCTAATTTGAAAAATCATAGGGGCTGTCGCCCGCGGCACCTTTCAAGGGTCAAAAGGAATTAGCGTTCAAAGTGTCGCCCTTCGACGAACTTGGGGAGTAGATAATTGAATTACCGGCAATAATAAGCAGCCACTCTCAATCTTGGGTGTCAATTGAACCCTCTGTCACTAAAGAACAAGAAAAAACACTCAACGAATTATATAATTTTTGTTCATCAATAATGTATTGTTGAATAAATTATTTTTTTTTGTAAAAAAGTTTACAATAAAACAAATATTTGACGTGTAATATTTTTTGTTAAATAAGCACGTTTTAGTTTACAATAGATATTTTTGTATTTACTCTATCAACTACATCGAAACTATAGATAACGCAAATAAAATATCCGATATAATATTAAATTTGTTGGCGGCTTCGGGAAATTTCTGATTCATGTAGCAGTAAATTGTTGATTATGTGGATTAAATTGTAATAAATAAGCACTCTTCATTCGACATACCCTTTTAAGTACACGCGAGAGAGGAAATAAGGAAAATTAGGTAAAGGGGGATTTGACGTCAACCTTAAAAGTACTGGCAGTTTCCCAAAGCATCTAAATAAATCTCAGGAGTATTCTGCACGTACTTACCCAGTTCTTACCACCACCCGTCATGTTTATGGTCCGCCATCGTTTCTCCTCTCCTGAGAAGGCTTCACTTCGCTAAAGAGAAGTGCAACTCGCATCCACAACACGAAACTCGCTTCAATATTAATGGACCGGGTGTGGAGCGGGGATGGTTAATTAATAAGAAAGCAACTTTAAATTAATGGTGCATAATTAATAAAACGTGAAACCCGCCGAAAAGGGCTATTGTTTCAAATTTTTTCGGGGGTTTGTCGAAAAAATAATACCAACGAGAAGGAAACTTGGATGGATATCTTTATCTTGTGCTTCGGGAGAGGTACTTCGTTGGGGAAAAGGGGGCGGGACAACTTGTCTCCGCAGACCTGGAAAGCTTCAAGCCTTTTGTCCGGGTGGATTGTTCGCAAGGAGATATTTCATAATGGCTCCGGGAGGGAGATAGCAGAAGACTGCGGATTTCGCTCGATGGCGAAATGAAATGAAATTGCCGTAGGTCAGGCGTTACACCTCTCTCGGAAGGAGAAGAGTCTTCCCGTTCAAATAAAAAAGATAAAAAGGAATCCATCCTACACATCAATTCTTGATTTTTATTAACAAATCATCAATTAAATACAAATTAACTGCATTTAACAGAAATTCAATTCTGATATCGTTCGAATGATATAGTGTTTTAAAAACCAGGGTGAAACATTGTATTATTTTTAAGATAGTCCTCAAATGAATACTACCGAATCAATCAATATTTAACTGGACATAAAATTTATTTATACAAATTGTATAAAATATAGCTTTTCAATTAAAAACGTTTACAGAAATAAACTGGAATATTTTGGGGAAGTAATAAATCAAAAGAGTGAATATTTTACAATCACTGAAAATATTTTGTTATATTGGATTGTATTGTTAATTTTGAAGAATTGGTTTAGATTAACTTTCAAAATTTGTATGGAAAAAAATTTACAAACTATAAATGCTCTTAAGGTGAAATCTTCTTCGCTTGTAGTCTATAGAGAAAAGGGGCAGATAGTGGCATGACATGAAGAAGTAAAAGGAAAAAAATGTAAAAATAGTAATACGTCCATTTAGAAAATTAAGAAGTGTGTTCCAGCGATGAAATTTAAATTTTGTAATTACAGGAATCCCTGAGGAAATCCTTCAACCGGAGGAATTCAAAGAAGATTTTAGGAAAAGAGGTTGTCATCACACGAATACTAATATCACGAATATAAGATAGGAAGAGACTAAAAATCTACTTTTAAAAGACAGGTGCAAAAACAAACCAAAGTGAAAAATCAAAAATCAAGTATAGTAACACATTATGGAATTAGAAAAGAAGCAAGAAAATTTGGAAGAAATTGAAGACGGAAAATCTGGTGAGACGGATGCGCGCACCCAGCAGACTTTTTGACGAATAGGAATAAAGTGCCAAGGATTGCCAAAGGTTGCAGATCAGAATATAAGAGGTCGCAGGATGATCACGAAAAAGAAAGATAACTGGTTGTCTGCATCGGCTAAGACAAGAGTGGCTACCACATCTTGCACCAATTCTGAAAATGATGAAGAATGTGAATAGTAGAATCGTTCATCAAAAATTTAAGGGAAGTAAGTAATCAGCGGCTTTTCCTATAGTAATACTATATCATGTCAAATGGATTGCTAGCTTTCTTGTTGATTGCTATTCAATCGAATAGTCTGTATCATATGACATGGTTAATTTTTAATACACCTTTTGTTCAAAGAGAAGGGAAGAAAGAAGATAATTGTCAAGAATATCGAGATTTTACTGTATTAATAATAAAATATTGATCAATCAATATGATCAACCTATAGATTATAAATTTATAATGTAAAATATAAAATAGTTACTAATTCAATAATTGAACAATCTTTAAAAGAACGATCCAGTAGTTTGAACAAACATCGGAGGTTAATTAAAATACTTCGGCAATGTTCCAACGTCAGATATCTCCTATCAGCGTTAATTAAATGCATTTAAAACGGAAGCTCGTGTTCCATTTCCAGACCGAAATAAAAGAGTCGCGTCGGCCGCCAGTGGTAATTACCAGCGAATTGTTAATTCATATTTTAATTATCGAATCTCGGCGAGCAAAACCGGCCTTTCAGAGGTAAATGGAAGCTGAATTTTCCCCAACAAACTAAAAACAACCGTACTGCGCGCTGCCGTAAAAACGGAAAAACGTCAACCTAAATTGACGATTTTCCACAGGGAATATCTTCCCCCAAAACAAGCCGGGTTAATATTTCACACGTTTGTGAGAAAATTACAGACTCCAATTTTTTTTTATTGAAATAAAAGAAATCGGCAGTAGTAATTGGAGAAAATTACCTAGTGGCGGTAATTAGCGAGGCAAATTGACTCTGTTAATTATTCGTGGGAGCTAAGCGAAGATAGTGTAATTTCAACAGTTACGGATTTTCCTCGAAATCAAGTTTTCCTCTTAATGCAAAATAAATATTATATTAAGTGTAGTATTTACTTGGTTTCTGATTTTTTTTTTATTAATCCTAAAAATCTCTTAATTTATCTCTGTTATTCTTTCTTTAAACTTTTCTTCTACCTCTTACTACGTGTTGATGCAAAAATCAAATTACAGGTTTGGAAGTTTTTGCGTTACTTGCTTAATTGTGCACTACACCAGAAGTATTAATACAAATCGCCCGATTTGTTCTTAAATATTTTATGGTTTCTTGGTCATTAGATACCGTCTCTCCTTGATTTAGATTCCTTTGTAAAGAGATGGTTGATCTAAGGAGTGTTTGAAATGAAGAATCTTAATGAATTAATTTAGATTATTAGACCTCGATGATTACAGCAGTCTACGGTTGTTGCATTTTAGTGGAACCCAAGTGCAAGGATATCTAAAAACTGCACAAATATGAAGTAAATGAATATCATAAAGTGCTGGTAACTTACAGCAACCTTAAAAACTTCCTGAATACTCACGCGCTTAGCAAAGGGTTAAGCAATTACGTTTTAAACAATAATTTTAGAAACTGTGTTGAAATAACAGTTAAGATTTAATACAAAGTTATCACATAATTTGATTTATATTACATTTAGAAACAAAAACTTCTTGAATTAGGATTAATTCTGTTAATTCCGGTAATTTAGTTACAAGCGAACCGAAATGTACGCTCCGTTTCGTCGTAACAGAACAACAAAATCCCACCGCGTAGAGATTAGATTCCCGCAAAACGGATTAAACGCACTTGCTTGTTTTGCTCGGAAATCGAGTTATTTCAATTCGTGAATTAAACGACAGGATCGTGTTTACGCGGTGCCGGATCCGTAATTGACTTTGGACCGTATGAATATTAAACGTCGACTGCGACGTCCGATAACCGGGACTATTGTTTTATTCAGTGTATTGAGAACAATAACAAAGCGTTGTTGTGTTTATTAAAACTTTAGAACAATTCAACTATAAAAATCGAAATACAAACAAACGAATTAAATTAAAACGAATAAAGGGTCACTTTGTAATTGTTTTCCGTAATCTATAGGGATTATGGGATTATCTTCTTTTTTTTTCGGGAAAACGTTTGCAGTTAGGTTGACGTTAATTTCCATCGTAGTTTTACCCACGGGGGAGTCGTTTCACGGCCGGCAGGTTATTATAACCGAGGCCCTACTCGTTATTTGGGATAACTGTCTGGGGAAAGAGTTTTGTACTTGACCGCTGTATATACGGTAATGTCCAACGCACCGGTATCGTATACTACGAAAGATGGCCCAAAAGGTTCAACCCGACGCCTGAACGAACTAATGGAATTAAAAAATACGTCCCGTTTGGGAACAAACCCCTCTGGGGATCTATTTTTTCCTTCGAGATTCTCGACATAGATAGCTTGTAACTTTTTTCTCTTGTAATTTATCGTTTTTAAATCCCAAGGAAAAAACAGAAAATAAATTGTTTTTTTTTGTGCCAAGAAATTAATTACAAAAGCTATATCGATATCAGCGCAAGTTAAACGCAAGAGTAATCTTAGTAAATTTGCTTGTGTTCCCTTGTTTGTTTGGCGCGTTGACGGGCTGCTAGCAAACCCTGCGGGGTAAATAATGGCCCCCCGTCTACTAAGACCCCCCGACTTTACAAACAGCTCTAATTGCGGGACATTATTGCACCCAATTTCGGTGTCTTGTAAAGTGGATTTCGCGGAGCAATTACCGAAACGAACGCGAAGCAG